TGTTCCCCAGAGTCCAGAGTATAAGAAAATCACAATTCTACAACAGAATCTGCATTTTTAAACTGTAAGCAAAGTTTCTATATGGTAATGATATACAGTTAAGTTATCTGAAAATTCATTTCATGCATAAAATGTGTTTATTAACACAAACGAATTCAGCTGCAACCAAAATTACTAGATCAAAAAAAAATTGTCATTACATGGGCATTTCCAAACCCATTTACAGTCACGGTTCATTGTTCATAAGTGAAAATGTGACACAGAAATGCTTATTATTGCACTTCAAAATAAACTAAATGGAAAAAAATGAAATTATGCTGCATGATCCCTTCAAGGTAATGTGAAACATATCATGGTGAAATTGCCTCAGCTCTGTTTTTTAAAAACTGTTTTAGAAGATCCTGACTTAATAATACAAGCAATTAGTTGTAGAATAGAAGGCTTTGCAGTAAAGGTAAAGATAATAACTAAGGCTGCAACTATTATTTTCTTAATTAATTTATCTAGAGGTTGTTCTTGTTTGGTCTGCATTGTTATGTACAATCTCCTAGAGGCCAAGGTAATGCCACGAAATGCCTGTTTTGGACAAAACTTAAAAATAACTAATTTAGTACAATGTTAAAACATAAAAAAGCAGCAAATTTTCTCATTTGAGAAACTTAAAGTGAATTTATATTACAATTTTTTACGTAAAGGATTTAGTGAGATCTAGCAGTGGGGTTGGTGACTGCAACATTCAGCAAAGCTTTCATACATTGTGTTCAACAGCCCTCACGGCGATTTCAAAGCGATTACCGTAAATATAGGATAAATTGTGTTTAAACAAGCTCAGCTGACTTGACCGAACAAAAGCTAATGGCAGCTCACTTCAGCACAGTGTAATTTTAAAGAAGTCAGAATGCACACATATTAAGATGTGCAATTATACCATTTTATTCATTAGGTCTATTAGTAAACACTCAGCCAGACTTTAAATGTCTATCTTGGCCACTCCAAGTATAATACCATGATTACAGTACATGAAAAGAAGGGCAACAAAGGTGGAATGACAGCTGGCTTGACCAGGTTTTTGCGAAAGACGGCCAACTTAACCACAGCTAACATTATCCCAATTCTTTGTCTTTGCTTCATTGACAACAGGGATTCACCGACTTCCTCTTTCTTGGATTAAAGTTTAACTATGATCTTCCATTTAACAAATTATAGCTCTTAAACTCACAACAGAGCTTCTTGTTTCTAATGTTTCTTATTTATCTTCCAACTGTCTCCTAATCCAAGCTGCTACCTCCACATGAAAATGCAAAATTCTCACCAGTGTGTGGTTTGCCCTACTGTGGCTACTGTGAAAAACATGCAACTTAACATGGCAGCCTCCATGATGGGGGCCTGCTCCTATGTAGATATATAAGCCTCATTCTAAGCTAATGAAAACACAGTGATTCTTATTTTCTGGTGACAGCACGTGAATGAAAACACAACTATGCATACTATAGCCCATTTCTGCTCATAAATCCTTGAAGATCTTACAAACTGCAAATTTAAAAATTAACTTCAACAATTCTAATCGAAATAATTGCCAATTCATTTTCCATCAATTAATTGAACAATCAACTAATTGTTATGGCTCTAAACAACTAACTTTGTACAATTCCCAGTCCCATTCTTACCTTGATTCTCTTGAGCAGCCACTGCATGAGTCCCTGCTGAGCTGCCTCAGTGCACAGGCCTGGTCTGAACTCTGCCATGTTTTCTATGATAGCTTAGGAAGAAACGCAAAATGAACAATCAGTATTTACTCTCCAAGCTTCATGTGTACTAGCGATGGGCATTTCAAGCTCAGATGCTATTTTAACTATTTTGACAATTATTCACAGATCACAAAGACACCACAGTAGTGCCTGGCATCATACTGCCTTACAACAGTGATGTATTCAGATTTTAAATGAGAGAAACAGCCTCAGTATAGAGGCTACTATGATTTTAGTATCATCAAAGCCCTCAATCAGTCACAAGATAACATACACAGATGCTATGAAAAAACATTTTGAAAGAGAAGAACTGTGAAATACACAGTAGTCATCTTTTTATAGAGGTCTCGTCTGGGTTCTGTCCCAGCTTCTTCTAATATTATCACAAGAAAGCTGTCTCTGCCACATGATATCTTTATCGGAGCAGACTGCAACAGAAGGAGACAGAGAGAAAGAGAATGTGGAGTGATGATGAAATGAGGGAGGAAAGGGAACTAAGAGGAATAAAGGGAAGAGAGGGAAAGTGGAAGGGAGGGAAGACAAGCCAAATATGAGGGGTGGAAAGCTTAGGGAATGAGAGACTCGAGGAGTGAGGGAATGTAACAAGATTTAGGAGAAAATAAACAAGAAATCAGAAAAAAAAAAACTATACAAAAAGAACAACATCTGGAAACACAGGTTGCAGATAGAGAAATGTTGAGAGAAAGAGACAGGAAACAGAGATGGAGGGGAAGGGTGCTAAGGGGGAGAGAGGAAGGGCCCTTATCAGTGATTCAAACACAGCCGACAGGCAGCATCCTGGAGAACAGCAGGCTCAGAGAAGAGAGCAGCCAAGGCAGACAAAAGGCTTCTTCAAGCCTGGAGAGCTCCCATGATAACACACACATACTGAGAGACATGCACACACACAGAACCTTCCACAAAGAATGCACCAGCGCTGCTCCCTCGCTGCAGCCCACACTAACAGAGAGCCAAACACACACACACCTAAACAGTCCTCCTGACACTTGGCCTCAATCTGGCAACAAAGAAAAAAAAAGTATCATCTCAGAAGACTCATTCAAACACAAGAAGAGCTGAGAGGCAGAAAACTCTGATTCCTGTGAGACTCAATGCAGAGACCATGACTTCTCAGACTAGCTGCTGACCCATGCCCCTTCCGAGACCTTCAGTCTACTTTTAAATCTGTCAAATCTATGTTGCAAACAATGATGACACAGACTCTCTATAACCTGCATACTTGACAGAAAAGCATTTTTCAAGTTCTTCCTCTTTGCCAGAACTTTTAAATGACACACTGACAGCTTGTAATGTTACTTCCCACCACTGAACAACAGGACAGTAACAGTCTCAGTTAGGAAAAGAGTTTCATATTTCATGGTGGAACCACTTATACTGGCCAGTTGAACTGGTCATTTCAAAACATTATTCGTGTATGAATGCCAAGTATACCACGCTTTTAGCTGCTTGATTCAGTATTGTGCATTTCCTCGATACAGTAACTCCTCGATCAGGTGATCGAGGAGTTACTGTATCTCTGTTTCTATCCTGTACTTATTTCAGTCAATCCACTTATTCCCACTGACTAAGTTGTGTTTATCTATGTCCTACAGCCCCAATATAGGCAACAAACAACACACCATTGGCAGTGTGGAAAAAATGAAACTAGCCTATTATTTTAGTCAAACAGCTGAAAATGTACCATGGGTAAAGAGGCAACGCATGAGTGAAGCTCTCTAGAAAACTAGCAGCTGGCCACCTTTGGCAGGACCCTCCCGCCTGTCACTCAACACAGCCACACGCGTACTTATGCATAGCCTTTAGCCTCAACATACTTTAAACGGGCTAGTTATATAAAAATTCACTCCCCCCAGTTTTCATGCAAAGGGAAATTAGCTATAGAGCCCAAAACTGTTTTTTTGTACTAGGTTGTAAACATTTTTTTATTTCTGCTGTAAATTTGGACCTTTTAAAATGGGAGTCTATGGGGATTAACTTCCTTTTGGAGGCAGCCTCAAGCAGCCATTCAAGGAACTGCAGGTTTTGGCACTTCATTTCTGTCTTGAAGGTTGCCACTTGGTAAGTACACAAAGAGTATATGGTGATAAAGTCTTCTGGGCACAAATTCACAAAAAAGTGCAACATAGTTAATGTTGGTGACAATGTGTCTTTGAATAAACACTAACTGGAAAATCAGTGTAAAGGCCTTGGTGCACATCTCCTTACCCAATGTGTTATAGATGCCGTCAGCTTCCTCTTTCACCTGTTCATCCAGCCGCTCCATGTCCTGCACCAGCAAAGCCACCACCTGACCCTCTAACTACAAACACAGAGAGATGAAGTCAGGGTTCTGACGCATGTTTACAACAACAAGGTTGAAGCAAATCCACCAGGGATGAAACACTTCATTCCTCTACACAGCTGCTATAAAACTGGTTTACTTTCCTAAAATAATTGAGGTTATTGATCAGTGTGCAACAGTGGAACATGGTTTATATTGTATTACACTTCACACATGAACAGCAAAAAAATAAAAAAAAAAGCTAAACGTTCTTCTTTCCAAATTAAATTTACATGACATTATAAAACCAAAAACATAAAATAACAGTATGATGGTTGGTTATGTAGCCAATGACCCAGTTCTGCGCAAATTTCCTCCTTAAATGCAACCTTTTCATTTTTTTAACAGAACACTATCAAATCTCACAACTTTCAACAATCAAATGAATCTTTATATTTTGCAAAGTCATTCCACGGTAAAGTGCAGAGGAAAGCAGGGGTGACAGACTGAAGGTTCACTTTTAAGCCTCTGTCTTGGCAGCGAAAGTTCAATTCCTATAAGCTTCTCTGAACATGTTAGAGCGTTATCAGTCAAGTCAAGATTGGAGACTCATAACCAAACAGGCCTAGGGGGTGCTGACTGGCTGGATGAAAGCACAATTACAGATGAAAGAAGATGGACAGTCGACAGATTTATGAGTCACCGAAGACCGTCGTGGATCATTTTGATTCATCTTATCAAGGATACCACCTGGCCTTGTGGCAACAAGGACAGAGAAACAGGAGGCATTAAAGCAAAGAGGAGAGACAAATGGATTCAACCAACCCTCATTTCCCTGAAACGTTTCCACTGGATGCTGTTGTAAAGAAGACTGTGGTTTATGGGTGCCCCATTGCATGGTAAATGAACTGCATTTATATAATGCCTTTACCCATAGAGCGTTACACAGCCACCTGAGCTACTCTCTCAACCAGTGTCACATCACAAGCCAATTCGCACACACTGTCAAGAGTCTCTGTCCCTGTCAGGTAAGAGCCCAACAAAAAAGAAAAAGCCCTTCAAAATGCTTCAGAGAGATGTGTTCTAGAGAGATATTGTTCCACTTAGTAGGAAAGCAATATTTCAACCCACAAAATCTTATGCTTACAGGGAAAACAAATCAAATAATATGCAGACTTCTTGCCATTACATCTGTCAGATGCTCTAGTGAGCTGATGACAAATAGAAAGTAGAATACTTCTTATCCTGAAGGATGTGCTTGTGGCACTGGTGAGTGTTCCAAAGTTGTTGTTGTTTTAACAATGGCAAAAAGAAGAGAGGAGGGTTCCTAAGCAGCATTACGCTACACCTGCTCCTTTTTGTGCTGCTCAGTCTAGATGTCTGACACTGTGGCTCCCTCTCATCAAGGAATTCATACAAGGATAATGTTGCCACCAGTACTGTAGCACTTCAGTCCATGACTGATACTTGAGTATTCAGGACACATGACTCAACCTGGACTTGAGTAGTGATGACTCTTGGACTCAGACTCAAGCACTGACTGCATTCAGATTCGGAATTTGGAAACAAGGATGTGGACTTTTTTGCTGTTGTTGTTTTGTAATAGGCCATAATAAATTGGCACAAGGTATTGAAGCTGATATTCACACTGTTCACTTCTATGTAGTGTATGTGTGCCTGTGTGTGCTTACGAGTGCATTTGTTTAGCTAGTGTGCCACACAGAGTTAAGTTATTTCCTTTTAAAATGGTGAGAGCTGTGTCAGTTGTGTTTAATGTAAACCTTAATGACTCAGACTCGGGTAATGGGGACTCAGCCTGGACTCGACTAACTATTCTTTAGTGACTCGGACTTGAACACTGGCAACTCACAACTCAATTCGGACTTGAGGTTTAGGAGGTTGCCACAGAGTTCGTTGGTTAGCTGTGAGCTACAACTGGAGCCCGTTTTTAAACCTACATGACCCTTTTTAAAGCCTATATAACCTGTTTCTGAGTGGATTTATTGGTGTTTATTAGCAACAGACATTCTCAGTGATATGCAATGATTTTCTCAATATTCTCAGGAGGTGTGGAAAGCCATATTAATCACTCTCATAACTGAGATATGCCTAAAAAAAGACTACAGCGATTTCAGAACACCGGCGTGTAACTGTCTCTTTCACCTCACACAGCATCTTTGTTTTGTGTGTCTTCTTTCATCTTTTCTTCAATTCTCTCCATACGTTTGGTTTTCAAACTGTGTGAAAGCTTCTGGTCGAGGTCATGAGCGCTCCTCTAAAAAGCTGACATTTTCTCACCTCTAGAAACACCTTAAAAGACTAACTATGGCAATTTTCCCAACAGGAGCTTGTGGGTATCGGTGGTTAAATAATGTGCCAGATAACAAAGGATTCATAATATTTCAATTTAAAAGACTGTATATCAGTGTGTGCCTTAACTGTAATGTCTCTGCAATGTAAATGAAGTAGTCAGACTGCTCAAAGACATCAAACAAAACAGGTGTGGTGAGAAACAACAACCAATATCCCTGATGGATGCCAACAGGAAGCAGCCTGGCACAGAACTTGGCACATTCAAGCCAACAGATTCTTTGATCAAGTGTCCTAGTGACAGCTGTGAAGCAGCAGAGGCACACAGTCCCCCGCATCCCACCCTCTCCACTCCCCACCATAGGTGTATCAGCACATCATTGTAGTCTGACCTTTGCCTGCGTCGCTCTAAATGCCAACAAACATAATGGGGCATCAAAAACCTTCCTTGACTCAGAGACAGCCCGACAGGCTCAGCAACAAGAAAGAAAGTGACAGAGAAGGGT